TTTGGTTGAGGCCCAATTCATCTCATCTTCTAAATGAGCTTGTATGAGAGAAGGCTTGTCTGAGCATGTGGAACTTAAAATAAACCAGTTGCAGCTATGTTGCTAAAAAACAAAATTAACCTAAAAACTAACCATCTGGTCCATTTATTAATTAATTACAGAAGCAGAATCTTTTGTCATGTTTGACAGGAAACATTTAATGTCATGTAATACTCAGAGAAGTAACATCTTAACCAGGTGGTTGGTTACTCTTGAGCAGAGGCAGTGATAAGCCTCAGGTGGAGCTAATTTTATTAGAAAGAATCTTTCTGGGAAAGTGCAAGGGGTAAAGGTAAGAGAGACAGGGAAAGCAACATAATATATGTTAAATGCATGTTTGAGTAGAGTTTTTACCTTCATCCCCACAAAAGTAAAAGCTAATAAAAGTTAACAGTGTAAATTTTGACCTGAAGTATTACTATTTGAGTTGATCTGGAAAGAAATCAAGCTTTATGGTAGAAAATGGACTGGAAAACAAGCAACATTGTGATATTACTTTACTGCCCACTGGAGGTAAGTTTTCAGTCTAGAGCAATGTGTTTTTTTCCCTATAAACAAATATTCTAGTCAATGTAGGTTTTATCAAGCTCATAAAAATGCATCTAGTAATCATAAATGCATATAAAAATGCAGCAACGACTAGAAGACACACATACATCAATATAGCTGTTCCCTTGAAAAAATCTAGAGTCATTATTTAATGTTGACCTTTATAGTTTTTGCATGGCTCTTTTTTTTTGTATGAACAGTCATTTTCCTCAAAAGGCTTTTTAAGGCTTCATGAGTAAAGCCTTAGTAGTAGAAAGTGAGAACGCATCATAAACTTGTAAAAGGTATTTCTTTGTACCACCAAATTGGAAGCAAAGAATATGTAAAAGGCTTCTTCCACTTATAGTTTGAAGAGAGCAGAGTTACAGTCAGTTTATAGAGAGTATGTAATTTATATCAAAAGCTATGTTGACTGCTGTAAAGCTGAAATTCAGATGTTTCTCAGCTCAGTATTCAGTTGCTCTCCTACAAATGAAATATGAATTGTGATTATTCAGGATTAACCAAACAAAACAAACCACAAGAAAAGAACAACAACAAAACAACAACAACCAGAAAAAAACCAAAAAATTCCTCACCGAAAAACAAAGCAGCAAAATCATCAGATCAGTATTTTAAACTTTCTAGTAAAGGCTATATTTGAAATCTTATGACAAACAACTTCAGCTTTCTTAAAATTTGAAGCGTGTCAGTTTTTATTTTAGACATATCACTGGTTTTCATTGCTTTGATTTATAATAATAATAATGGCCAGTCTTCGCGAGCGAAGATCCGGGGAAGGTCTTTCCACCTTCCAGCCTGCGCATTGGATTTTTTAGGTGAGACACAGTGTGCGCGGAACTGAGCCCACCCTTTAATCCTAAGGTTCATCTGCCGGGGCCAAGCGAACTTGGACGGTGGCAGTGAGGTCCTTAGGACGTAGATGGGTTGCCTTTTTAAGGGCTAACGAGCTCCACCTGCCCGGGAGTGGCCCTGACCGGGAATCGAACCCGGGCCTCGGTGGTGATTTAGAGTATATTGCAAAATGACTTAAATATCAACAGAGCATTTGTTATCCAAGGCTATACACTCTCCCAGTACTGAGAATTCCCATAGGATTACCAATGGGAGGGATTGGATTGCCAGAGAGTTCTTTAAGTATGGTAAAAATACTACCAAGAACAGACTTTGGGCTTCCCTGCAGAGCAGTGAAAGACCCAGTTAACTTTAGGTTAGACAGAGCTTTGGAGGGTCTTTTCTCAGTGAAAGATTTTCTTGACAGGAAGTATTTACTATGAAGAAGAAGAAGTTCATGGAATTAACAACTTAATTATCCTTAGCAATTTACAGTGTAGGTGAATTAGGATAAAATAATGAAAAGAAACTGAGCTCCTGTTGGTGGAGCAAGAGGGATCACATCTAAAGAACATGTTGCTTCATTTAGTACAATTTATAGAAGATTAATTTAGTTAGTCGGCAGACAGTCTGTTCCCAAGCAAATACTTATTTTTGGGAGTTAATGCAGTGAATTTGACTGAAAAAAATCCTTGGGGGTACATTTAGTTCTTACTGTGAAGTGTGAACAATAGAACACTAAAGCTGTTCTCAGCTGAGAATCAAGCAGGTGGTGAGGCAGTGCAGTGATTATTTACTCTGTTGCTGCTTTAAAATCTTACCTTTGCATTTCGCTTTGCATTTGTGTTCTGACCTTGGAGTTAACTCTGAACCAGGATTCATTCCTGAACCGCTGTCTTACATTTGTGACATTTAATGTAAATAATACCAACCTCTGTTTGCTGTTGGAAAGTTGCCTGGCATAAATTCCTAGTGATTATATCCTTATATGCCTGTGCTTTGAGGAATGGTATTATGAATTGGGTCATCACCAAGGAATACCTGCAGTTGACCTGAAGAATCAGGAAGGGAAGCATAAGATCAAAAACAGTTTTTCCTCTCAGTATAAAAAAGTGTTGTGACTGTTGACTTCAAATAAAAGGGAATACTTGTGGACTAAGAGATCCTTCCCAAACTGAGTGTGCTTTGTCAGAGAAGAGCCATGCTTTTTTACCCTTCTAATCTTCACCTTGATCTGGTAACATACACATAATTTGTTTCCAGATGCTGATCAGCTCCATAGAGCCATTGGCACAGATTCATTTAGAATTCATTCTCATATTTTGAACAGAAGATTGGTTTAGAGTTCATTCTCATATTTTGAAGAACTGCATGATCTCTGGAAGCCTCTTTCAACCTAATTTATTATTCTGTGACTGTGACAAGGACTGCATTGTACTGAAATGTTGCAGCCAGTGCAACTGGGAAACAGGATAAAACGTTGTTCTAACCTGTCTCTATATCTGCCTTGCTGATCAAGACAGGGACAAAAGAGTTACTGCTTACAATAGAACTCAGTCTTAAAACTGTTCTTAATGACAAACAGGAGCTGTGTATCCTGTCTGTCCATATGTTTGCAGTGGATCCTAAGGAATGAAAAGTAGTATGTCTGGGAACTTTGCAATGAAATTTGAAAAACCTGAGGAACCTTATAATAAAGAGAAAAAAGGGCTGCTGAGAGTTTATTTTGTCCTGGTGGAATGGCTGTTATTGCCTTTTTTTTTTTAATTGTTCCTGCTTTAGACATAGAGAAGCTCTTTCAGAAATAGATCAATAATGTTTGCACTGAGCCTTGTCTAGTGCTTCTTTTAGGGTGGTGTATTAATGAAGTGTGAATGAATGCAGTGGGACATTAGGGATACAGAAACAGCTCAGTGACCAGGGCAAAGGAATTAAAATATTCAAACCAACATGAATTAGTTGTTGGGGACCAATAGTGAAAACCTCTGACCTTCAATCCAGAGAAAAATAACTGGGTTTTTTTTTTTTTGGAGGGGAGAGAATAGCATCTTTTAGAGCTATACTGTGATGACACCAAATCATCTATGGGTAGTTTAGGGTGAAGAGTGAGGAGGGGAAGCATAGAATCAAACCCATTTTTTTTCAGATACTGCATTAAAAAAACAACCCATGGCAGTTTACTTCAAAAAAGAATGTCAATGCATCTATGAAAACTGGATTTCTTCAGTCTTAACCATTGTTTTGTGTGTAGTCAAGATAACGCATCCCACAGGTAGGGAACCAGTGAGTTCTGTTGGAACACCAGGGATAGGTGCATGGAGTATTTATATGTAGGCACAGGTGTCCATGGAAGGCCCTGCATTCTGGCCCTCATCCCCTTCACAAAGTGTCTTACTCAGTCTCTTCTGACTTTGCAATAGAAGTAATTAATTTGTCTATGCACTAACTAATACCCTGTAATTACTTTATGTCAATTAAGTAAGAATAATAAAAGCCTTTGGCAATAGATCATTGTTGATCTAGTAGTAGTATCCTAAAATGTGGATAAATGAAGAACTGCTTCTATTTTGTAGCAGCTGAGGTGTAGAACTCATTGCACAAGTTTGGAATAATTCCCAAATAACAGTGCATGTCTATGTTGATCCCTGTATTCACACTTGCAGCACCGCAGAGGTCTATTTCTCAGACAGTTTTTGATCTACATTAATAAATAGGTAATACAGGGAAGGCTGTGATGGTTAATGAGTGTGTAGTAGTTGATGTAAAGGCTTCATATAACTCCAGTAGGATGAGAAGATCTACTGGATCCTGGTATCCCAACTGCTCTTGTGCCTTTGCCAAACCAGTCTCTTAGAGCCTGTTGATGTTGAGTTGTAGTGAGTGAAGCAAGTGCTCTTTTTCCTTAATCTATTTAAACTTGTGGAACTATGGAGCATCAGGGAAGAGGTTTTTACTCTAAAGGAAGCTGGATCTCCGTGGTTTATAGTAAAATAAAGCAGAAGACAGACTTGTTCTTTCACAGACTTCAAGTTTCCATGTACATTTTTCAATGTCAGCTGCACTGATGTATTTCAGTGGAAAACCATACCTCTAATTAAAGGAATGTGGATTATGTAGGATAGCTCAGGGCATAAATTACTCTGTGTTTTATTACAACAAATAAAGGCAAATGTTATTTGAGCTTTAAGGTCTTAAAAGTAAGTTTGGAAAAAAAAGTTAAAAAGCTGGCATGATTCAAAGGGCTCTGAAAAATTAACAGCCAAGATCACAAGCAATCTTAGCTGAAGCCTTAGGTTCTTAATTTGAAATTTGCTCATTTCATCTAAACAATGAGCTACAGCTGTCACCTGCTGAGCCTCAACTGGGATGAAGTCATGAGATTTCATGTCACTGTCACCCCTTTCCACCACTCTTTTTTTCACCCCAGTGTTTCCTTGTTCAAATATGTTCTTTGAAAAATTGTTTTCCAAAAACAAAGGCTTTCTAGCAGAGATGGTTTTTGTCAAGTTTGAGGGTTTGGGGATGCATGCTTGCTCAAAAGGCTCTTTGTTTATTTAAGTTTGTTTATTTTGTTTAAGGTTGCTAATCTTGCTTGTTCATTGTCAACAAATGAAGAAGGAACAAAAATTGTCCAAATGGCAGCTAATCACATAGAGACCTTGTGCCCACAGGTATGGCTTTTTCAATTAATTCCCATTACAGCATACTGAGCATACACTGTATTGTCACACCACATAGATGTTTAGTTGTGCTCCTTGAGTCTAAATTCATGTTCTTTTTATACAGTTCAGTGTAGCAAATGGAGACCAAATTGCAAATCCAGGGCAAATACTCAGTCAATTTGTTTTCTCTTTGTGCTTAACGTAGGAGTGTTTAATAGTCTGCATTGATTGGGAGTTTTAAAATGCTGTAAAAATTGGAATTGCAGAAATATGCTGTTCTGTTTCTGAAATCAAACCTGTTTGAATGAACGTTGTAATGTGATAGGCAGATTGGGAATGTTTTTACTCTTAGAAAGCAATACCTGTTTTAAAGTTTAAATTGAAATGCACAAAACCCTAATCAAGTGGTGATAGTATGTGAACAGCAAAGGATGAATTCTTCTGATTATCACCAATTTAAAAGATTGAACCTTTGTCTTAAGGAAATGAATTAAAAAAGGCACAGCTATAGATACCCTTTTTCTAAGCTATTCGGTACCAAAAGTTTATTCACTCATTGTTTGCATGTTCAGAATTATAGAGATATAAAAATATCTGCAGTTAGATCTGTGTAGAGCAAAGATTTTAATGATTTCTGTGAATATGATCTGTGTATTGCCTTGAGGCTGCACAATTTCAAGATCATTAGTTCTTTGGAGCTAGTTTACATGGTGGTCTAAGTCTTCTTACCCTTTTGTGCTGAATGTGGTGGAAATAAAAGATGAAGAACAAATATTATCAATATGTTCAATAGCAAGCTTGAGAAGTCGATTTTATCCTGTTGAATAAAAGGAAATCTTGGAGAAAAAAGGTTCTATCGAGGAAGTGAGATGTTCTGAAGATACCACAGGCCAGTGTTTTCTCATGAACCATTCAGGTTGAATGCCTGTTCTGACACTTGAACCCTTCTGTGTTTCACATACCACTCTCACGTGATTTAATGTGTGACTGGATTTATAAGAAGATTGTTGGCTTCTTCCAGCTTCTTTGTTTCTCCAGGGGATCAGGTGCACCTTTGCAATGGATTACTATGCATCCACATTCAGCTTTTTAATTGAAATTGAAACCTACACTTTCAGTAGTGCATCTGATACCAGAAACTCCTGAAATCTGATTTTGACTATAATATTGATTTTTCTCCACAGTCATTTAAGTTTCTAGGCTTTTAATTTCCTGTGGTAAAATGCAAGTTGCTTGGTTTTATTTCTTTTTTTTTTTTCCTGTTTAACCTCAAGGTAAACCGGGGATGAATTAGCTGATGATTATAGATCTGTCTAAAAAGAGAATGTGGTATGCACATGATAAGATTATGTTACTACTAATGGTGTGTTCATTGTGCAGGATTTCCTGCTTTCTTAGATAAGGACCATGCCCTGTGAAAGCAATTTGTATGTTACCTAAGGAAGAAATAACAGATTAAGGCTCCTGCATTTTTCAATAAATCAGATTATGCCATATCAGTTAAAAACCTTCCATAGGGAAAATAATTGTCTCTTAAGTTCCCTGTGAGGCTTATCAATCAGAGTTCAGAATGGGAAAATTCATGTGTAGGACTCCCCAGTGTTCTTAAATCTTTAGAATCTTGGTATTTTATGTGCTTTGAAAAATATATTTCTTGAAGAGAAACATGGGGTTTGGATTGAAATCAGAAATTGTAGAATTAAAAGAGAGCCTCCCCACCCCAAACATACCAAGTGAAAAAACCTCAGCAACGAAGACAACTCCTACAGAAAACACATGAGTGTCTTGGGAGTTCTGCAGATTTGACCAGCAAAAGTCCTCATGAAGCACAGGGAAAAAGGCAGATGCAGAACTGGCAAACCCTGGAGGAAAGTGTTTTTGCTTTTGTTATATTAATCAGACTCTACTGTAGATAAAATGTAGAGGGTTGATTCGGAACTTTACTGTGTTTTTTTTCCTCAAGTGAAATTATTAACCAATATTTGACTGCTCAATAAAAGAAATAAACCAGTATGTGACAGAGTTTGCAGGGAAAATCCTCTCTACTTTCCGTCTCGCTGGGGCGGAGTTGCTGTACTGGGAGTCCTGGTGTGGCACGCAGCAGAGAACCACGCAGCACGCAGGCAGGCAGGAGGCAAAGAGGGTTTAATTCAAATTTCCCGCGGCTTATAAGACTGCTGGAAGGAAGGGAGGGGCTCAGCTACTCGGCCAGCCAACGAGAGGGACCGGGAGGGTAATACCCAGTAAGAACCCAGGAACTGGGGAGAGACAGGGGAGACAAGCAATGGGGTTAGGATAGGGGCTTGGCCTGGCTCTGGGGGCACAACAGGAATGGCACTGCACACAACCGGCTGCATGGGGATGGAGAGGGAGAAAGAGGTAATTGTACATAGAATAGGGTGGTCAGGAACAATAAATTTGTGATATGGAGCTTTCTGTGCTGGCTTCAGGAGTTTTCTTGTGCTGTGTCTGTTTCTCCTCTATGATTGACATTTCCAGTGCACATATTCCACGTTGTTTTCCACAAGTATGTATGTTAGAGCCAATGCAAAACACATAACGCCTGTTCCTGGAATTTCATGAGTGCTTCGTGAAAAATGAGTTTAATATTAATGGTACATCAATAAGAATAGAATAAAGAAATACAGAGTTGCTAGCATATGATTTGGTGAAGGAAGAATTATTTCTGTCTATTTCACTCACTTTTGATTAGAACATTTTCTTCAGTTTTGTCAGGTAAGTAAAATCTACATTGGCACTTGTTTTATGTGGGAGTCCATGTTACTTTCCTAGTGTGCAAACAAAATCTTGACTCAAGAAAGAAAAAGAACCCACAAAAGCAAACAACAAGAATATTAATTTGTAGAGCTGTTTTGCTGATATCCATTTTGGGTTTGTTACCATTTTGCTTCAGTTCAGTGGCATGTTTGAAGAAGACTCTGGTTCCTCTAATAGTTAGTCCTCTGGAATACCAAGAGATAGTAAATATAGAGATGGAAAAGTATCCAGAATGTGGGAAACCAGAGATTAGCAGTCAAGAATCTGGTTTCTCTATCTAAATTATAGGATTTTTGCATTTTTATGGTCTGATCAGCTTCCAGGTGGTCCAGCATGTATGTCTGGCACACCAGGCCTTAGATATGTGACTTAAGCTGGGGTAGTGTTTGGGAAGAGCAGAGAAGATGGAACATTAGCAGCAGTACGTGTGCTGTGAGCTTGTTCTCTCTGAAACCCGTGTTTGTCAGAAACACACACTGGGGAGGTGCTGTGTTGCACATAATGAGAGATAAGGACATTTTCTACCCTGGGGGAATGGAAACCAGGGAGTGCCAGGAGCATAAATGCAAACAGATCCTGTTTGCTGATGCTTTTGAGGGGAGGAATGACCTTGAGCCTAAAACTGGAAGAGTTGTGTCAAAGTGGAGATCGAAGGTGGCTGGTCTTTACGTAATAGCTAAGAGCTTCAGCGTGTCAAAGAACTCTGCCTCAAGCCTTTTTGTTAGCATAAAGATCCCTGGAGAATTGTGAGGAGCAGGGTGTTTGGGACATTTTAGAAGAACCATATCCAAAATAGTGAATTTTAGGCTCCCTTCCTTTGAAGGTGGGATCTCGCTGGAGCTTGCTGCTGGTTACCAAACTGGTGCAGGGTAGTTAGTGAGCCATGCCAATTCTGGAGTGTCATGATGGGGAGGAAAATGCAGGAAAAACACAGGAATGTTCATGTTTTGCTTAACCTTTATATGATGATAAACAAATGTTTACAATTCATTCAATCCCATGCAGTATTTTTATCAGATATTTTAAAAGAAGACGTATGCACTGGTATAAGCAGTACCTTGGATCTTAGTCTTTTTACCTGAGTTCTGTTTTTCTCTGAAGTATTGAGAGAGATGGAAATCATCTGGTTATAATGTTATTAGGTAAGAAGCAATTCTATGGAACATGTTACGAATTGTCTCAGTTTAAATGAGACACAAATGTTTTGAGAATGAGTTATGAGGAAGACCCAAACTACTCCCTCTAAGCAATTGTAAATCCGAAATTAAAAGGCTCCAATTGAGAAAAATGTGGAAAGAGGAAAAATAACAGACCTGTATTGAAAGATATATGTGTATTGGCAGAACAACAAAAGAACACAAAATAAACCAAACAATAATCCTATACCAAAAAATAACCCCCTTCAAAACAAACAAACAAACAAACAAGTAAACAGTTCAGTTTGTGCCCTTTGGTGCAATTCTAACCACAACCAGCAGGGGGCGCTGCTGGATCGCTGGAGATGCAGAGCCTGCAGTGTTCTGTGCCGGCCAGCAGGGGCTACGGTTGGATCACTGGTGATTGCCATGTGGGGGCCCCCTCTCCGGGTGGGCTGGAGAAGCCCAAAATGGATGTCTTCCCTCCCACTCACCAGAAAAAAAAAAAAAGGAGAAAGGAGGGAAAGAAAAAAAAAAGGTCCTTCCTAACAGGAACTCACTCTGTCCTGCTGGCTGAGTTGTGTGGTATATCTTCCCCTCTCCTTTAATATGCACAAGAACTACTGCCAAAAAAAAAAAAAAACAAACAGAGGAGGAGAGACCTCCCAAACAGTTCCTCACCAATGAAAATCCAAGCAAAATTCCCAGCTGGCAACTAGGCCAAGAGCAAAGCCACCTTTGAGCTCCTGCCACTCAGACCTCGTCCCAGCTCAGGCCACAAACGAACTCCTCTCCCGTTTCCCAAGGAGAGGAGGAAAAAAAAAGTAAAAAAAAAAAAAAAAAGAACTCCTCATCCCTCTCCCCACAGACAAGGTCTTGAGGGCCATCAACTCAGAATGTGGTTTTACCAGCCACTTCTTTTGTGTTAGTTAATGGCCCAAGCCAACCTGCCTATTCAACATCCCTTTCACACCGTGGGCAGGGGGAAGGGAAAAATTCCATCTTAGTTTCCCAGAACAAACAAAACCATGACACTAATGAACAGCACATAACACTTGGCACATTTGTGGAAGATACAGCTTTAATATTCATTGC